TATGCTCTTTACATTCAGGAGATGGAGCATAAGAAGCAGCTTCCAGTGAAGCTGGAATGCCCCAAAAGCAGCCAATGTCTTCCTTAACCTGTCATCCTGAAGATGTGCTCAACAGCAGAGCTTCCCGCCCCCAAATGCCATGGAATAAGGTTTTCATCCCCCAAATGCCATGAAATAACATATTTGTTGCCCAAATGCCACGGAATAGCAGTTCTTCTTGGGCAGGACTCACACAAGAGGATGCTCTCAAAGATATGGGATAAAAAAGGCACCATCTGCTCTGCTGGGATACTGGAATGGGTGGAAGACAACAGAGAAACAGCCAAGCTCCTCTGGGCACCCTGTACCAGCGCCTCAGCACCCTCACAGGGAAGAGCTTCTGCCTAAGAGCTCAGCTCAGTCTCCCCTCTGGCAGGTTCAAGCCATTCCCCTTGGCCTGTCCCTACATCCCTTGTCCCAAGCCCCTCTCCAGCTTTCCTGCAGCCCCTTCAGGCACTGGAGCTGCTCTCAGGTCTCCCCTTCAGGAGCCTTCTCCTCTCCAGGCTGACCCAGCCCAGCTCTCTCAGCCTGGCTCCAGAGCAGAGCTGCTCCAGCCCTCGCAGCATCTCCATGGCCTCCTCTGGCCTCACTCCAACAGCTCCACGTCCCTCTCGTGCTGCTGCCCCAGAGCTGGATCAGGACTGCAGGGGGGAGTCTCCCCAGAGCACAGCAGAGGGGCAGGATCCCCTCCCTGCCCTGCTGCTCCCGCTCTGATGGTGCGCCCAGCACACGGGGGGATCTCTGCTCCCCATCTGCTCGCTCAGCTCCTCAGGTAAAAGCTATTTTAGAACAAACTTCTCCTTTTCATTCTTTCTGCGTGAATCCACAGGACCATTTCCCAGCAGGACGCAGTGTCTGAACCCAGCAGCACTCTTCCAGGCTGAGCAATGGTGTGGGTCAGGCACAGGCAGTTCCACACTGGCTGTGCCCACACACAAACACCGTTTGGACAGGCTGGGCCGGGCAGGAACCAGCTGCATTTGGCACTGGGACAACACCATACACCCAGCAATGGGTTTTGTCACCCCATGTCACACACACACACACACACCCCTCCAAGCATGGCATAAGGTGCCAAACCTTCTGACAGGCACTGTGGAGCACAGCTGAGCACCCAGGTGAGGTACCCAGCCACAGCTCCTCCACCTCCTCCATTCCAGCTGCTCATCCCAACTGGAGCGATCCCATGAGGTTCCCTCCGTCAGCAGGATCGTGTCTGTGCCTGCAGAGCTGTGCATCCCTGCAGGCAACGAGGAGGAAAGGGAGGTGCTGAGAGCAGGGACAGCTCCCAGATTCTGGAAGCACCGGCTCTGGGTTCCCTGCTGCTGTCAATGGGTGAAACCATTCCCAGCTCCTGAGCTGAGCTGCTGCTGCTGGTACTTCCACATGGAACACTGCTTCCAGCACACGGGCAGGGCTGGCATGGCCAGTGGTTGTTCCATGTTCAGGGATGGTTTATACAACCCAAAAGCTGAGGAGTTGCTCAACAGAGTTGTGAAAGGGAAGGATTGGGAAGGGACTGAAATCCCTGCAGAGGAGCTGCCACACCAACAGCTCCGGGATTGCCTTTATCCCAATGATCCCGGAGTTATCACAGCACCAGAGCACCAACCACCCCTGGGATGCAGGAATGATCCAAGCAGCTCCAGGAACATGGAGCACACAGTCCGAATCCTCCTTCCTCCCCTGCCCAAGGGAAGCTGGTGCTTGTGGGAGAGGGGAGGAAGTCAACACACCAAAACCCTTCCAGTTTTGGGTCCATCACTAACTCCAGCTTGGTCAATGCTGCAGCAGCAGGACAGGAAGGAGCATCCACCCCTTGTAGGAGCATGAGCCTCCTCCTGACCTACATAACCCCTGCAAACCAGGGCAAGAGACGTTAACAGAGCCAGGACAGGATGTGCGGATCCAAACCCTATCCATGAAGAAACACATCCCCTAAACCTCCTGTAGCCCCATGGCAGCAACACCAGAGGGATGTGGAGCTGCTGGAGGGAGGCCAGAGGAGGCCACGGAGATGCTGTGAGGGCTGGAGCCACCTGCTGATGCAGGGAGTCATGGAATGGTTTGGGTTGGAAGGGACCTCAAAGCTCCTCCAGCTCCAACCCCTGCCACGGGCAGGGACCCCTTCCGCTAGAGCAGCTTGCTCCAAGCCCCTGTGTCCAACCTGGCCTTGAACACTGCCAGGGATGGGGCAGCCACAGCTTCTCCATTCAACCCATTCCAGCATCCGAGCACCCTCAGTAGAGAGCCTGTGAGAGCCTCTCCTGGAGCATTCTCTAAGGCTCCCAGTGCAGGGACGAGACATTCCTGCTGCATTCCTGCATCTGGAACTCCCAACCAACCTACCAGGAGCTGCTGCTCCATTATGATCCCAGTAACCACTGAATCCACAAGAGCTCATCTGGAAGGGACCTACCTGTCCCACTGCCTGCCTCGGAGCTGACCCTGTTGTTTAAGGGATTGTCCAAATGGCTCAGGGCATCACCCACCTCTCCTGCAAGCCTGTCCCAGGCTCCTGGGGAAGGAATCCTTCCTCACATGCACTGGGAACTTCCCACTCTGAGTCATTCCCATGCGCCTGCCTCTGGGAAGCAGGGAGGAGAGCTCAGCACCTCCTCTCCCCTTCCCCAGGAGCTGCAGAGGGATGAAGATGCTCCTTATCCTCCTTGTCTCCAAGCAGATGAGCCCCAAGCCCTCGGCTGCTCTTCACAGGGCTTCCATGCTCACAGCACCACATCCAAGGGTTCTGCTGCCATCCAAAGCCGAGAGTTGCCCATAAGGCACCTGCTCTTTGGACTTCTAAAGCCTCCCCTGTTCTGAAACCAGTTCTCACATCACCTTTTTGGTACTCCCTCCCCTCCGCCATCAGTCAAGTCATGGCCCCAAAGCCCTCGGAGCCTTTTCACCACCAGCACCAAGCACAGACCTGAGGTAGAAAAACACAAAGGAAGAATTGCTCCATCCAGAGGAGGTGCTTACAAACCCCTGGAGAGCCCAGGATCATCCGGACACGCAGCCAGCAAGGTTCCCACGGACACACGAGGTGGGAAACCTCAGAACAAGTAAAACACTGCTGAATGGAGAAGGAAGCCATTCCCCTTGGCCAAAGCCCCTCTCCAGGTTTCCTGCAGCCCCTTTAGGCACTGGAGCTGCTCTAAGGTCTCTTCCAAAGAGAACTATTCCTCCTCCAACTCTTCCCAAGCCCAGGATGTATTGAGCTGGGACGCACATGGAAGCAACGCTCCCTTCCCATGCGGTCTGCACACACCGAGGCCGTGGCCACCCCACCACTGGTGTCACCCTCTGCAGAACCAGCCTGGCCAGGGCAGGGTGACACCAACCTGAGCTCACCCTAGTGCAGAGGCAGCTCCATCAGTGGATCATGGCTGGGAGCACCCAATGGGATCACCAGAGCCACTCACACCAAGGGCACCTCTGGGGTGAGGAACACAAGTGCCCGGAGCCGTTTTCATCTGATCAAAGGCTTTAATCCCACTACCCTGTAATAAGAAGCTCAACAGCCCCGATGACTCCACCCCTGTATTCAGCATCACCGATGCACCCATCCTCCTCCATCCCAGGACCCCGCAGGACACCGACACCACCCCAGCTCTTGGAGCCACTAGGAAGGGACAATCCCATGGGATCACGGGTCAGAGCCACAGCGGACACTCCACAGGGTGCTCTCCCGGCAGCAGGCACAAGGAGAACGGCGCATCCCATGGGAGCAGCACAGCCCCCCCCCAGGCCAAGCCAAGCCAGGCCGGTCCCTCCCCTCTCCCCCCAGGAGGGGATCAGAGACCCGGTGTGCGCAGGACGAGGCCACACCAGGAACCGGGTGTTGGGGCGGGGGGGGAGCCTCTCAGCGCTGCCCTGAGACACAAAGACTCGAAGCAGCCTCACTCCCGGGACCCCCATTGGCTCCGGGGGGGGGGGGGGGGGGGGGCAGCCCCGGCTCTCCCTCACTAACACCCCGGGACCCCCCCATTGCTCGAGGGGGGGGGCGCAGCCCCGGCTCTCCCTCCCTAACACCCCGGGACCCGCCCCATCAACCTTCCAGCCCCCCCGGCCTCCCCCTCCCTTCATCGGAGCCTCTTTAGAAGACTCCTGTACCCCCCCCGCATTACCGGCCGCGGGCCCCTCCTCACCGAGCAGCAGCAGCTTCACCTCCTTGGCCGCCTTCTCGCCGTCCTCCCGCAGGTTGCGGTCGATCATCTTGCTGCGCTCCACCGCCGCCTTGTCCTCGGCGCTCAGCGTGCAGCCCATGGCGGCGGCGGCGGCGGGGCCCGGGCAGGCACCGGGGGAGCGGGACGGGAGCGGGAGCGGAGCGCGGCTGCCTCGGCCCGGGCGGCTCCTCAGGCGGGCCGGATATCCGGTTGTGCGCGCAGGGCACGACGGGAAGTGTAGTCCCCGTAGGGCACAATAGAAGCGGGACTTCCGCCTCGGTACCGCGGGGCATGATGGGATGGAGGGGGGGGGCACTCCACTCGCAGTGCTTCCGCCTCGGTGGAGCGAGGCATTATGGGAGCCGAGGCGGAGGGCGGGGCTACACTTCCGGCTCTGTGCCGAGGGGCATGATGGGAGTTGTAGTCCTCAGGGGTAAGCGTGGGGACTCCGGCACCCCCACGCCCCACTGCTCCCCCTCATCCACCCCACAACCCCCCCACGAGGGGGTCTCCACCTCCACACCCCCCCCCAACGGGACAGGTCTGGCCCCATGGTTGTGGGGCAGCCCCAGAGGGGACAGCGGCCGGGCACGGGCCCACACTCCCCGGGGCAGGAGGGTGCTTGGGGGGCAATGGCAGCGTGGGCAGCCCCCGCTCCAGCCCCATCTCCCGCTGCACGGGGGCCGCAGTGGGGCTCGGGGCGCCCCGTCCATGCCAGGCCCCCCTCTCCCCCCATCTCCCCACGGCGCAGCGAGCACGCACAGACCGGCTCTCCCCTCTCATCCGTGTTCGCCCGCAAGCCCCATCCCCAGCGCTACAGCTCCGCTTTGGGCGCACGGAGCCCGTCCCCTCCGCGCCGCTCCGTCCCCTCGCCCGCCTCCTCCTCGATCTGCCCGGGGATGCGGAAATCGATGTGAGCCGGGTCCGGTTTGGGGCTGGGGGTGCGCGGCCGCGGCTCGCAGCCGGTGCCCTGCAGGAACTGCAGGAAGTTCTCCTCGATGGAGCCCTCGCGGCTCGGCAGCCGCAGGTCCTCCTCGGGGGGCTGCTTGAAGAAGCACGTCAGGAGCCGGCCCAGCTCGGCCCGGATCTGCCGGTTCAAGCACCCGTAGAAGAAGGGGTTGGAGGTAAAGCAGGAATAACCCAACCAAGTGACCACGGCCTCGGCCGCCGGCCCCGCCGAGGGCTGCGCGCTCAGCGCCGTGTAGAGGTGGAAGGCGAAATAGGGCAACCAAGAGAAGAGGAACTGGCCCCCCACGGCCAGCAGGATGGCGGCCGCCTTGCCCCCGGCTCCGAACGTCCTCTGCGGCGTGGTCCGAGGGGCTCCCGACGTGGTGACCATGGTGGAGCGGCTGCTGAGCGACTCGGAGCGGCGCCGCGGCGTCTCCATCCAGGTGGGCAGCGGGCCGTGGTGCATGGCGGCCACGCGCGCCACCTTGAACATGCTGCAGTGGACCACGACGATGATGAGGAGGGGCAGGAGGAAGTAGAAAGCGGCGAAGAACACCACGAAGAACTTGCAGTAGGGACCGCGGCTCCATTGCAAGGAGCAGCCGCGGGGGCTGCGGAGCGGCGGCCGCTCCGGCGACGACCAACCCAAGACGGGGACCAAGGAGGTGGCAACGGCTTTGAGCCAGACGCCGACCAGGACGCAAGCCACCAAGCCCACGGTCATCCTCACCTCGTAGCGCATGGGGTGCACCACGTAGTAGTAGCGCTCCACGTTGATGGTGGAGATGGAGAGGATGCACATGGTGATGAAGCAGACGCTGAGGAACAGGTAGACGCGGCACATGGCTTCGCCCAACACGGGGCTGTCGAACACGGCTGAGCCCGAGAGCATCTCCAACGGCATCAAGGTGAGGGCGGCCAAGAAGTCCACCAGGCAGAGGTGGAAGACGAAGACGAACTTCCTCAGCGCCGGGGTCTTCACGATGACGGTCATGATGGCGGCGTTGCCCACGATGGCCGCCAGGTCCATGAGCAGCATGAAGAACAGCCCCACCGACCTCGAAGCCACGTCCCTGGCTTTGGTGTCGGCTGTGCCGTTGGGGGACATGGGGCCTGGGAAGGGCTGGAGCCCCCGCACCTCCCTAGAGCCATTCCAGGCCCATGGTGCTGGCTCCATCCTGGGCCACCACCATCACCAAGGGGAGCATCCTTGCTCTGGGCATTGCTGGATGGGAGGGGGGGGGGTGTCACATCCTCGCTGGATTGGGGGATATGGGGTGCTCAGAGCACCCAAAGGTGCCCCCCAGCCCCACTCATCTCCCCCCTGGGCACCTGTGGGGATGGGAGAGACATTGAGGAGGCGGCACAATCCTGGGGGGCTGAGTCCAGCTGTGACCCCCAACTACAGCCCCCCGGGCTCCCTTCCATGACCCCTCTTTCCCCCCCCCAAACCCCTTTATCAACAGCCTCATTCTCCCCCAAAATGACCAATTTTGGGGTGCCCCCTGCCAAACTCCAATGCTTCAATCCAAAACACCCCAGTGGGGTCCTGAGTGGGGACACCCCCCCATCACCAGCCCCCCCCCCCTCCCCCCGGTCTCCTCCCTTTGTGTATCAATGGCCATGCGTGACCCAAGCCTGGCCCAGCGGTGGGTGCTGCACCCCCAACCCCCCAAAATGGGTGCTACCAGGGTGAGGGGGGACACACCCAGAGCCCCCCCCCCCCATGGGTGGTGCTTCCCAAAGAAAGGTGGGGGTCCCCATCTCCTGCATCCCATGGGGGGTTACTGTTGGAATGAGAGGGTTCCTGATGGAATGGGGAGGGCAACTGATGGAATAGGGGCTTGCATCTAGCCCCCCCCCCCCCCATATTCCTCCCCTCCCCACCGGTTGGGGTCCGCTCCATGTCCCCCTTCATATTGCATCCCCCCCCCAGCCCCCGGGCATCGCCCCGGTGGGGGGGCTCGGCCGCGGCACTTACCGTGGGGGGATGCACGGGGCCGAGGGCGGGGGGGGGGGGGGGGGGTGCCCGGTTCGTGCGGGAGGGGCTCGGTTGTGCGGGGGGGGGGCCCCCGTCGGTGCGGGGATGCTCGGGGCCGGGCCGGAGCCGCTGCGGCGAGGGATGCTCTGCACCGCGGCTGCTGGGTCCTAGCGCCTCCCGCCAGCGCCGCGGTACCCCCGGCACAGCGTCCCCCCCATACGGGTGCGCTGTTGGGGGGAAACCCCAGGGATATGAGGGAAGGGGCTGTCCTAGGCCGGCTGGAACCCGGCTTATTCCCAGTGGGATAGGGGTGGAGGGTGGGCTTTGTCCCGTGCCCTGTGTCGCTTCAGGCCTCAGTTTCCCCATTCGCCCCATAAAGAGGCTGTGGGGGGCACTGGAAGGGGGGTGCTGGACTCGGAAGCTATGGGGTGGGGGCAAAGCGGAGGTTTGTGGTGATGGGAGGGCAGGGTGAAGGCACCCTGGGATGGGAATGGGTGGGAGCAGGAGGCAGATCCGCAGTGGGGGGCACAGAGTGGGGCTGTGGTGGGTGCAGGGGGATGCTCAGGGCTTGGGGGGGGGGGGGGGGGCTCAGAGAGGCCGCAGGACCCCCAAGCTCTGCCCATCCCCAACCCAGTGCTCCCTTCCTTGCTCCCAATTCCACAATGGGGCGACTGGGATGGGGGCAGTTCCCCACCATCACCACGCTCCGTGCCTCAGCTTCCCCAGGGCACAGCCGTTCCCTTCCAATGGGGATCCCCATCTCCCCCAAGGATGGGCATCCCCTCAAATCCCTATGGAGGCTGCGAGCTTCCTCCCGGCATCACCCTGGTCCCTGTCCCACGGGTGCTGGGAACCCGAACCCGGATTAGAAACCGGGGATGAACCGGATCGGGGGCACGGAGGGAGCCGGGAGCGGTGGTACCCAGCGGGGTACCCAACCCGCCCCATGGAGCAGCCGGAGCTGAGCGTGGGATTGATCCTGCCCCATGGAGGGGGCAGGGAGAGCCCCCAGTGCTGATGACTCGTGTGGGCATCTGAATCCATGAGGATACCACACCCTGGGTGCCCCCATCCTGAGTGATTCCCATCCTGGGTGCCCCCACCCCGAGCTCATACCCCATTGTTCCTCATCCCCCTTTTGGATGCAGGCAGGGGTTTGGCCGCGCTGACCCCCAGTCTTCGAGGGTGCCTCACAGTGGGGAGGTGTGGAGCCACCCCCCCGCACCCCATGGACCAGGAGGGTCCCAGCCACGAGGAGCATCAACAGAAGCATCCTGCCCCCCCCCCCGGGGTGCTGCCTTGGCTTATGGTGCCCTGGCACACCGACACCCAAGCACCCCAGCGTCCTGGCACCCTAGCCCCCTGCACCCTACTATCACAGCACACTACATACCAGCAGCCCAGCGCACTAATAGCCCAACACCCCACAGCACCCATACCCAGCCCTATGGGACGCCCATAACCCAGTACCAAAGCACCCAGCGCATCTGACAGCGCATTCCAGGCCCACAGAATAAGCATGTTTGCACATGTGCATGTGTGCACATACATGTGTCTTGTGTGTGTGTGTGGCTGACTGACACACCCCCCCCCCCGCGCACACATCTGGCAGGCACATCCATGCGCATGTACACGCGTGTAAACACGTGTGTGTTACCAGGGGTGCACCCATGTGTACGTGTGTGCGCACGTGTCTCTAGCACGTGTATGCGCGTGTGTTCGCACGCCTGCATGCGTGTGCGTGACGACACGCGTGTTGCACACCCATCCCTGTGGGGACACGGGGGACACCGGCGGGTGCTGCGCAGGGATTAGCACCGGATTAAACGGAGAAACCGAGGACGAGCAAAGGACACAATTCCCGGCAGCTGGAAACGGGGTGGGACAACGGCACCGGGGACACGCACACAGGGTGTGAGGGGCACCCTGGGGATGCGCTGCTCCCCCGGTCACCCTTTAACTACTGTGTGTGTGCCCCCCCTCCACCCCCAAGCCAAAAGAGCTGCATCATCCCCGGCTCCGGTCCCTCCGACCTTGGCCCCAAACCGGCACCGAGGGCTCCCGGCTAAAGGCAGACCAGAGGCAGCGATGGGTGCAAGGGGGGGGGGGGGGGGGGGGGGGGGCAGCACCCAGGGGTGCCCTCCCGGGTGGGTCGGTGCCAGCACACTGGGGATTTGGGATGAGGATGAGGATGGTGTGGGGATAGAGTTGGAGATGGGGATGGGAGGGTGTGGGATGAGGATGAAGATGGGGACAGGGATGGGGATGGAGTGGGGTGGGGATGGATTGGTGGAGATGAGGATTAAGATGGGGATGGGATGGGGATGACACAGAAGCGAGATGAGGATGGAGATGGGGTGGGAGTAGAGGACACGGATGAGGATGAGGTTGACGTGACATGGGATGGGATTAGGATAAAGTTGAGGCTGTAATGGGGATGAGATAAAATGGGATGGAGATGGGGAATGAGGATGGGGATGAGGATGTGGTGGGGATGCGATGGGGATAAGGATGAAGAGATGGGGACAGGGATGGAAATGGGATGGGATTGGGAAGGGGATGGGGGGGGTCGGCTCCTCCAGGGTCTCTCCCGGCCCACCGGGGGTTAACCGGGCTCCGCCGCCATTGGTGGGGGGCGCTGCCGCGGCAGCCAATGGGGACGGGCCGTACCCGCGGTGCGCCGCGGCGGGGCCGCCCTCAGACCCTATCCCGGAGCCCCGGGTGCGCGCTGCAGGCGGCGCCGGGCGACTCGGCCCCGCTCGGCCTCGGTTCGGCTCCGTTCGGCTGCGATCGGCCCGGTTCGGCTTCGCTCGGCTCCCACCGGCCTCGCTCGGACCGTTCGCCTCGCCTCGTATCGCCTCGGCCCGGCCCGGCCCGGCCTGCTTCGGCGCGGCCCTGCTCGGCTCGGTTCGGCCCCGCTCGGCTCGGTTCGGCCTCGCTCGGCTCGGTTCGGCCCCGCTTCTCCAGTACCGGTACCAGGCCCCGGTAACGCCGGTGGGGGGGGTGACCGTGAGCATCCTCCCGAGGGCACCGTCCGCTGCAGCGCCGGCACCGGGGGGGGAACGGAACCGGGGAGGGCGGGGCCAGAGGGGACCGGGGGTGGGGGGGGGCACAGAGTGACACGGGGTGGCCAAAGCCACCGGCACCGGGCGAGCAGCAGGACCGGTAACGCCATGACACCGGGTGACAGCGACAGCCCACGCGGTGACACCGGGTGACCGAAGCCACCACCCCATAGCCCGTGCTGTGACACCGGGTGACAAAGCCACTTTGCACGGTGACACCGGGTGACCGAAGCCACCCCATAGCCCATGCAGTGACACCGGGTGACCGAAGGCACCACCCCATAGCCCATGCAGTGACACCGGGTGAGCAGCAGGCCCGGCGCACACCGTGACAGCGGGTGACCGCATCCACCCCGTGCAAACGCACCCGGTGCCAGCGATGCCGCATCCTCACCGTGACCCCATGGCGGGTACCGGCGCCCCGGGGCTCCTCCTGTGCGTGGCTCTGGTGGCGGCGGTGGCACCGCGGGGCACGTGGTGCGGGAGCTGCCCCCCGCGCTGCATCTGCGCCTCCAACATCCTGAGCTGCTCGCAGGCGGTGCTGAGCGCGGTGCGGCGCCGCTGCCGCGCTTCACGCGTGCTGGACCTGAGCCACAACAACGTGAGCCGGCTGCGCGCCGACTGGGCCCCGGGGCGCCTGGCGCACCTCCACGCGCTGCTGCTCAGCCACAACGGGCTCTCCTTCGTGTCCACCGAAGCCTTCACCCACGTCCCTCACCTCCGCCACTTGGACCTGTCCTCCAACCGCCTGCGCGCGCTGGAGGAGAACCTCTTCAGCGACCTCGCCGAGCTCGAGGTGCTGCTCCTCTACAACAACGAGATCTCCACCGTGGACCGCACCGCCTTCGAGAACCTCAACCGCCTGCGCAAGCTCTACCTGGGCCAGAACCGCATCGCCCGCTTCCCGCTGGAGCTGCTGCGTGACGGCAGCCGCCTGCCCCAGCTCGCCCTGCTCGACCTCTCGGCCAACCGCCTCCGCCACGTGCCCGTGGGCGAGCTGCAGGCGCTGCCCGCCTGGCTCCGCGACCGCCTCTACCTGCACGGCAACCCCTTGGCCTGCGACTGCGCCCTCTTCCAGCTCATGGCCCGCGGCGCCGCCGCCGCCTCAGCGCCGTCGTGGACTTCCAAGAGGAGCTGCGCTGCGCGTTGCCGTCGGTCCCGGTACCCGTGGGCATCCTGGCGTTGGCCGGCCGGGCGCCGCTCAACTGCAGCGAGGCGCGGGAGGCGGTGCTGGAAGCGCACGTCGGGGACACGGTGACGCTGAGCTGCGACACGCGGGTGCGCGGGGCCCGCAGCCGGCACTGGGTGACGCCGGCGGGGGAACGGGTGCTGCAGGATGGGGGCAACGGGAGCGCGGCGCTGCTGGCCAACGGCAGCCTGCAGGTGCGGGCGTTGCGGGCCGAGGACGCGGGGACGTACGCGTGTTGGGTGGCGGGGCCGGTGCTCAACGAGACGCTCTACGTGGAGCTGCTGGTGCACAACTTCACCCTGCACGGGCCCCACGACACCCTCAACACCGCCTACACCACGCTCGTGGGCTGCATCCTCAGCGTGGTGCTGGTGCTCATCTACCTGTACCTCACGCCGTGCCGCTGCTGCTGCTGCCGCGGCGGCACCGACAAGGCCCCCCCGCCCCGCGACGACAGCATCAACTCCTCGGTGCTCAGCGCTACCCCCAACCACGCCGCCGGCGAGCCCGCGAGGTCCCGCTCCGCATCCGGGGCCAGCGTGGGGCAGAACGGGAGGTTCAAAGCCGGGGGGACGCCGCAGGTGCCCCCCCGCCACGGCGCCAGGGCGCAGAGGAAGGTGTCGGATCCGGACTCGGTCAGCTCCGTCTTCTCCGACACCCCCATTGTGGTGTAGAAAGAGGGGGGGGGGGCACCCCATGTCCAGCCCCCTCCCACCCCCCTCCCATTCAATGGATGCGCTGCGGGCAAAGAGGGGGGGACAAGACAAGACCCCCATTGCCATCGCCCTCCCCGGCCTCCTTGGGACCATAAGGGACAATGGGGGGGGGGGGGGGGCTCTGTGGGGACACCGGGGTGGCATCAGCACCCATCTGCATGTGCATTGCAAAGCATGAGCCCCCACCCCCCCCACCCCAGCCAGCTCTAGGGGGGGGGAACATGAGGGGCACATCACCCCCAACACCTCCCCCCCCCCATGCAACCCACAGCCACAAGCAGAGCCCCCCACTGCAGAGGGGGGGACCCCAGCATCCCAAGTGGGGGCATCCCGCGCACCCCCCAGCCTGTGCCCCCCCCCCTTCCCCCATGTCACTCCCCCCAATGCCTTGGCCACAATAAATGTGTTTCCCACCGTGTCTGGGTCACCTGTGGATTGAGGGGGGACAAATTGGGGTCCCAGTGCTTGGGGGGAACAGTGGGACCCCCCCAGGGTGTGGGGTCAGGATGAGTCCTGCTGACACCCTGGTCCCTGTCTGGGGTGTATGGAGGAGGAGGGGGGGGTCACCCCAGTGAGCACCCCCCATTGACCTCCTCCCAGTACTGCACTGACCCCCCCCGAGCATCCCATTGCTGCCACTGCCCCCAGTGACCACCCCCCCCCAGCAGCCCATTGACCCCCACTGCCCCATAGGGTCCCCATGATGGGGGGACCCCCATCCCCATCGGGGAACCCGGCCCCTTCCCCTTTAACCCATGGACACCCCTGTCCCTGCAGACACCGCATCCCCGCCCCACAGCATCACCAGGGACCCCTATCCTCGCTCTGCCCTCACCAACACCCCCCCATTCCCCAACCCCACACAGTGACCCCCAGGACACCCCCTTCCCCCCATACTTCTCAGCTTCTCTTTTTTTTCTTTCTTTTTCTTTCTTTTTCTAAAAAAGAAACAAAAAACAGCAATAATCATTCTTATAAATAGAGTGGCCATTGGTGGCCATTGGTGGCCTTTGGTGGCCATCGGTGGCAGTCCCATGCCAGGCCCCCCCCCGCGCTCGGGGGCCGGTTTTAGCAGCAAGAGAACAGAACTGAGTCTTGAGGTATTTGGCTGAGGTCGGTGTTTCCCTGGGGGGGGGAATGTTGGGGTCTTCCCCCCCCCCCCCTTTCAATTCCATCGGCGCCCGGTGCAGGATGTGGGGTGGCCCCGGTGGCCTCCTGTTAATGGGCTTTGGACTGCGGAGAAGAGAGGGGTTGGGTGAGCCCTGGCCATGGGGAGACCCCGGCCCATGGTGTCCCCATGGTGGTTATGGGGTCCCCAAAGGGAGCCTCGGCCACCATGGAGGAGCGTGGTGCCCCCCCCCCCCCCGCAAAGGTCTCCATCCCATCCACAGGCAGGGTGAGGGGGACCCACAGCATCCAGCACCCAGGAGCAGGATGTCCCCATGGTGGGACACGGGGTCCCCCACCGCATCTCCCAACAGGGACCAAAGTGTCTCATGGGGTCCCCCACTAAGGACAGGTCTCCATGGTGACCCCAGGGGGTCCCTCAGCATCCCCAAGCCGAGGCCAGAGGGTCCCCATGGGATGTGTCCCATCTCGTCCGCCCCCCAGGACCAGGGTGCCCCAGCAGCCCCCAGACCTAGGAGAAGATGGGTCCCCTGTGGGTGCTGGTGGTCCTGGGACCCCATTTCCCCTGACAGTCCCCAGCATCACCCCAAACACCCGGTTCCCCTGCCCCCCATCCCAACAGAGACGCCCCCATTTCAATAGAGTCCCCCCTATCCCAACAGAGACCTCCCCCCCATCTAACAGGGACCCTCTCATGTCCATAGAGGCCCCATGTACCCCAACAGGGTCCCCCCATCCCAACAGGCCCCCACATCTCTATAGGGACCCCCCCTATCCCAACAGGGACCTCCCCGCATCCCAATATGGACCCCCCATCTCAACAGAGTCCCCCCTATCCCAACAGAGCACTCCCCCCATCTAACAGGGACCCCCCCTCTCCATAGTGGCCCCTGTACCCCAACAGGGTCCCCTTATCTCTATACGGACCCCCCATCCCAACACGGCCCCCATCTCAAATACAGACCCCTTTATCTCTATAGGACCCCCCCCATTCCAACAGCCCCCCCCCCCATTTCAACAGGGCCCCCTTATTTCTATAGGGACCCCCCATCCCAACGGGCCCCCCCATCTCAACAGGGCCCTCCATCCCAACAGGGTGCCCTTATCTCTATAGGGTTCCCCCCCATCCCAACAGGGCCGCCCCATCCCAACATGGCCCCCTTATCTCTATAGGGAGCCCCCATGCCAACAGGGCCCCCTTATCTCTATAGGGAGCCCCCATGCCAACAGGGCCCCCTTATCTCTATAGGGAGCCCCCAATCCCAACAGGTGCCCCCCACCCCAACAGGGCCCCCTTATCTCTATAGGGACCCCCCCATGCCAACATGGCCCCCTTATCTCTATAGGGAGCCCCCAATCCCAACAGGGCCCCCTTATCTCTATAGGGAGCCCCCATGCCAACAGGGCCCCCTTATCTCTATAGGGAGCCCCCAATCCCAACAGGTGCCCCCCACCCCAACAGGGCCCCCTTATCTCTATAGGGACCCCCCATCCCAACAGGCCCCCCCCATCTCAACATGGCCCCCTTATCTCTATAGGGACCCCCCATGCCAACATGGCCCCCTTTATCTCTATAGGGAGCCCCCAATCCCAACAGGTGCCCCCCACCCCACCAGGGCTCCTTTATCTCTATAGGGACCCCCCCATCTCAATAGAGCCCCCCCCCCGCCCCACCTTCAGGCCGCTCCGCTTCTCCTCGAAGCCCGGGGGGGTCCCCATCTTCTTCCTACGGACGGCCCCCCCCGGGCCGGGCTGGGGCGGGGGGGTGGCGGCGTGGCGGGCCTGGCTCTCACCCCCCTGCAGTAGGTGGCCGCGTTCTTCCTCTTCTTCACCTCCTCCTCGGCGATGCAGCGGGGGGGGGGCGGCGTGGGGGGGCCCGGGGGGTCGGGTCCAGCCGCTTGGCCCGGGCCGTGCCGTTGAGGACAGGGATGGAGGCGGCTCCTTTCGTCTTGCCGGGGGGGGCCGAGCTTTGCGCTTTGCTTTTGAGCCCGTCCCCCCCCCCCGAGCAGGTCCGTTTGTAAGGGGGACCCCCGGCGTTTAGGGGGGGTTTCCATTTGCGGGGCTCCGCGTCGCGGCATTCCCGAGCTCGGGAAGCGATCCCGGCCCTGCCGGCCGGCAGCTGGCTGAAGGAGGGCGAGGGGGTGTTGGCGGGCAGCGGGGAGGTGATGGAGCGGCTGCAGCCCCCCCCCTCGGGCTGGCTGCAGGCGGCAGCGGCGTGCGGGGACCCCCCCGGCGACAGCAGCGTGGGAGGGACGCGGGGTTGGGGGGGGACGGGCACGGGGAGGAGGTGAGGGGGGGGGGGGGGCTGCAAGGGGAAAGGGAAGGGCTGGGGGGGGCCGGGGGGAGCTGCAGGGGGGGGTCGGCGGCGGGGGGGATCTTCCTGTGGGAGGGAAGGGAGGGGTGAGGGGGGGAGCCCCCAGATGCCGGCATCGGCACCCCCCAGGTTTTGGAGGGGGGGGGGGAGTGATGGGATTCCCCCCCCCCCAATCCTCACTTGGTCCCTGATGCCCTTTTCTGCTCCAATGCAGGTGAAGGGGATGAGATGGGAGCCCCCAAAACCCTGTTCCCAGCGTTGTCCCCCCCATTCCACATGGGGAGGGGTGAGATGGGAGCCCCCAGATCCCTGCTCCCAGCGTTGTCCCCCCCCTATTCCACATGGAGAGGGGTGAGATGGGAGCCCCCAAAACCCTGTTCCCAGCGTTGTCCCCCCCCTATTCCACATGGAGAGGGGTGAGATGGGAGCCCCCAAAACCCTGTTCCCAGCGTTGTCCCCCCCATTCCACATGGGGAGGGGTGAGATGGGAGCCCCCCAAATCCCTGCTCCCAGCATTGTCCCCCCCATTCCACATGGGGAGGGGTGAGATGGGAGCCCCCCAGATCCCTGCTCCCAGCGTTGTCCCCCCCCTATTCCACACGGGGAGGGGTGAGATGGGAGCCCCCCAGATCTCTGCTCCAGCCCCTGACCCCTCAATCCCGAAAGGGAAAGGGGCAATACGGGAACCCCCAAACCCCTGCTCCCAGCGTTGTCCCCCCCATTCCACATGGGGAGGGGTGAGATGGGAGCCCCCCCAAATCCCTGCTCCCAGGGTTGTCCCCCCTATTCCAGATGGGGAGGGGTGAGATGGGAGCCCCCCTAAATCCCTGCTCCCAGGGTTGTCCCCCCTATTCCAGAGGGGGAGGGGAACCCCCCACATCCCTGCTCCCATCATTACCCCCACATCCCTTCCTATTTCAGATGGGGAGGGGTGAGATGGGACCCCCACATCCCTGCTCCCATCCTTGCCCCCCCACCTCCACATGTGGGAGCTGAGGTGCCGCTCCAGCATGGAGCCCAGCGCCGCGCAGAACCGGTCCAGCCGCCGGTTGAACACGTAACAGCCAGGGCTCACCAAGCGGCTCCCGAAGGTGCAGAACTGGGGGGGGGAGCACATGGACACGGTCAGTGACCCCCTCAAATCCCTGCTGCTATCCATGAACACCCAAGTCAATTCCCAGTTAAACCAGATGGGGAGGGACGTGGGAGCAGATGGGGATGGAGGTGGGGACCAGCCAGGGATGATGATGGGAGCAGACAGGGATGGAGAAGGGGACCAGCTGGGGATGGAGATGGGACCAGCCAGGGATGGAGATGGGACCAGCCAGGGATGGGGATGGGGCCAGCCAAGGATGGGGATGGGACCAGCCAGGGATGGGGATGGGTACCAGCCAGGGATGGGGATGGGACCAGCCAAGGATGGAGATGGGACCAGCCAGGGATGGGGATGGGACCAGCCAGGGATGGGGATGGGGCCAGCCAAGGATGGGGATGGGACCAGCCAGGGATGGGGCCAGCCAAGGATGGGGATGGGACCAGCCAGGGATGGGGATGGGTACCAGCCAGGGATGGGGATGGGACCAGCCAAGGATGGAGATGGGACCAGCCAGGGATGGGGATGGGACCAGCCAGGGATGGGGATGGGGCTAGCCAAGGATGGGGATGGGACCAGCCAGGGATGGGGATGGGACCAGCCAAGGATGGAGACGGGACCAGCCAGGGATGGGGATGGGACCAGCCAAGGATGGAGATGGGACCAGCCAGGGATGGGGATGGGACCAGCCAGGGATGGGGATGGGGCTAGCCAAGGATGGGGATGGGACCAGCCAGGGATGGGGATGGGTACCAGCCAGGGATGGGGATGGGTACCAGCCAGGGATGGGGATGGGACCAGCCAAGGATGGAGATGGGACCAGCCAGGGATGGGGATGGGACCAGCCAGGGATGGGGATGGGACCAGCCAAGGATGGAGATGGGACCAGCCAGGGATGGGGATGGGACCAGCCAAGGATGGAGATGGGACCAGCCAAGGATGGGGATGGGACCAGCCAGGGATGGGGATGGGACCAGCCAAGGATGGAGACGGGACCAGCCAAGGATGGAGATTGGACCCCCTAAATCCCTGCTCCCATCTTTGATCCCCCCAATTCTGATAAAAGGGGTCCAGATGGGCCCACTTCAGCCCCTGACCCCCCAAATCCCCCCCAGTTCAGGCAGGAAGGGGTGAGATGGGACCACCCCAACCCCCCTCTTTGACCCCCTTTCAGCACACAGCAGCATTGGCTTAACGGGGGGGGTGTCCCCAACCCATCCCAGGGTCCCCCCACTCACCGCCTGTGGCCGCGGTGGGCGCAGGGGGGGCCGGGGGGGCTCCTCACCCCCTTCTTCTTCACTGTCCTCACTGGACACCCGGGGCCCCCCCTTTGGCACAGGGAGGGGGAACACCCCAATACCCCCATCCCCGGGGGGGGGCGCATCCTCGGGGTCACTGTCAGAGGAAAGCCGGGTCCTGTGGAGGTGGGGGGGGAAGAGATGTTTGGGGTGCCCCATATGGGGGGGGTCACCCATTACCCATCACCCCCCCCCCACCCCAGCCTCACCGGGGCAGCGGGCAATGGGGCAGCTTGGCTCGGCAGGGGACAGCGCTGGGGGGTCCGGTGAGGGGCTGCGGCAGTGAGGGGGGGTCCTGCGGCGTGGGGGGGGGCGGTTCCTTCTCGGGGGGGCTCCTGTCCTTGGGGGGGTCCCCTCGTCGGGAGCTGGCCTTTAACTCAGCCACCAGCACATCAAAGTCCTTGTCCCGGCCCTGCACCTCGCGGCGCTGGTGAACAGAGTGGATCTGCACCAGGAAACATGGGATGGGGTCAAAATGGGGGGGACACACACCCCCAAAAACACACACACATCCCCCCATGGGCAGGGTGAGGGTGTCCTTGTCCCCCCCCTGGTACCTTGCAGGTGAGCAAGCGGGTGCAGAGCTTGTTGGTGTCGGGGTTGAGCACCCCGCACTGCCGGTTCAGGTCGCACTCCTTGCCTGCGGGCAGAGGAAGGCAGCGGGTGCTGGGGGGGGCGCAGGGGGGGGCTCAGTGCTGGGGACCCCCCTCCAAGTATTCAGCCCTGGTTGAGGTTTTGGATGGTGGGGATGAGTGTGATGGGGGGGGGGGGGGCATCACTGGGATCACTGTGGGTATAGGGGATGGGGATGGGAGTAGCCAGGGATGGAGATGGGAGCAGACAGGGATGGAGATGGGGACCAGCTGGGGATGGAAATGGGACCAGCTGGGGATGGAAATGGGGAGCAGACAGGGATGGAGATGGGGAGCAGACAGGGATGGAGATGGGGAGCAGACAGGGATGGAGATGGGACCAGCCAGGGATGGAGATGGGGAGCAGACAGGGATGGAGATGGGGAGCAGACAGGGATGGAGATGGGGAGCAGCCGGGGATGAAGATTGGGACCAGCCAGGGATGGAGATGGGGAGCAGACAGGGATGGAGATGGGGACCCCCTCCCTGAAGCAAGAGGCTGGGGAGACAACAGCCCTGAATCACCCTCCATGGGATCACCTCCTGGGACCCCCTTTCAACCCCTCCCTGGGGCGAGCTGAGCCCCCCACTTTCCGCCCCCAACCTGGGTTCTGCTCATGGCATCACTCCCTGTTACCCACAGCATCGGGGGGGGGTGGATGACACAGTGGGGAGCGTTCAACCCTGGCTCATTCTTTTGCCCCCCAGAACCTGCTGCTGAACAGAGCACGGGGTGGGAGATGCCCCATTGGTACCAACCCCAGTGCTAAAACAACAGGAACCAGGATGTCCCAGCGGGACAAGGACAGCGACCTGCTGCCCGCCCACCCCTCCCATAACCAGCATGGAAAGTGATGGGGAACTCACGTGCCAGCTTCTTATGGGACCTGGGGGGTGTCTTGGTGGCACCGGGGGGGTGACTTGGTGGCTTCTCCCCTGGTGCAGGCCCATTCTCTGGTTTGCCCCCGGGGCCATCATCAGGCACCGACGAATCCCCCCCAAGCCCAACCGGCACCGGGGGTTCCTTCGGCACCGCGGCGCTGCCGGGTTTCCCTAGGGATTCCTTGGAGCCGTTGGGAATGGCCTTGGGGGGCACCTTGATCCCGTGCCCATCTGGTTTGGGGATGCTGGGGATCTTCTCCAGGTTGACCACAGGTACGAAGAGGCTGCGGAGAGGGGTTGGGGGGGGGGGGGGTCAGAGCGGTTGGGTGCCATGGAACGGGCACAGCCGCCCCTCCCGGTGCTCACCACAGGTTGTTATCCTTGTCCGGCCGCTCGGGAAGGGGCTGGGGTCTCCGGCGGGCTCCGGGATGCTTCTCCCGCAGGGCCTTGGCCGGGCCGGGGGTCCCGTTAACGGGGACGTGGCACTTGGCGGCACGGGCGTAGAGCTTGGAGAGCGGCCCATGGCGGCGTTCTGCTGGGAGAGGGTGGGATGGGAACGGGGAGAAACCGGGGCTGAGCCCACAGCTGGGGTCCCATCACTGCCATCCCCCCCCCCCTCCAGCCATTCCCATGGGATGGGGCTTGGGATGCTGCGTCCAGCTCTGGGATACAGCACCAGAGGGATGTGGAGCTGTTGGAGGGAGGCCAGAGGAAGCCATGGAGATGCTGCGAGGGCTGGAGCAGCTCTGCTCTGGAGCCAGGCTGAGAGAGCTGGGCTGGGGCAGCCTGGACAAGAGAAGGCTCCTGAAGGGGAGACCTGAGAGCAGCTCCAGTGCCTGAAGGGGCTGCAGGAAAGATGGAGAGGGGCTTGGGACAAGGGATGTAGGGACAGGCCAAGGGGAATGGCTTGAACCTGCCAGAGGGGAGACTGAGCTGAGCTCTTAGGCAGAAGCTCTTCCCTGTGAGGGTGCTGAGGCGCTGGCACAGGGTGCCCAGAGAAGCTGTGGCTGCCCCATCCCTGGCAGTGTTCAAGGCCAGGTTGGACACAGGGGCTTGGAGCAAGCTGCTCTAGTGGAAGGGGTCCCTGCCCGTGGCAGGGGTTGGAACTGGGTGAGCTTTGAGGTCCCCTCCATTCCCATTCCCAAGCCCATCCTGGGGTCCTGTGCTCACCGCAGTGCTTCTGGAAGGCCTGGGGCTTCACCACCTGGCTGCAGTGGTTGCACACCACCAGGTAGAACTCGTCGTGCGCCGGGCAGTGGCCAAAGATGCTCATATCTGTGGGCAGAGCGTGGGGCACGATTCCCAGTGCCGGGAGGAGCCGAGCCCAGCCCCGGAACACCAGGAATGCTGCCCAGGGATGAGCCTACCTTCCTTGATCAGGGTCATGGCGTCCAGCTTCTTGCTGCTGCTTTTCCCACTCTCCTCCAGCTCCAGCCCGGATCCTGATGGACACAAAACCCCATCAGCAGCGCCCGGCACAGGCTGTGACCAACTGGGTACCCAGTGCCATCCAACAGTGCTCCATTGGGTACCCAGTGCCATCCAACAGTGCTCCATTGGGTACCCAGTGCCATCCAACAGTGCTCTATTGGGTACCCAGTGCCATCCAACAGTGCTCCATTGGGTACCCAGTGCCATCCAACAGTGCTCCATTGGGTACCCAGTGTCATCCAACAGTGCTGTACTGGGTACCCAGTGCCATCCAACAGTGCTGTACTGGGTACCCAGTGCCATCCAGCTGTGCTGTACTGGGTGCCCAGTGCCATCCAACAGTGCTCTATTGGGTACCCAGTGCCATCCAGCTGTGCTGTACTGGGTGCCCAGTGCTACACTGGGTCCTCGATGCCATCCAGCTGTGCTGTACTGGGTGCCCAGTGCTACACTGGGTCCTCGATGCCATCCAGCTGTGCTGTACTGGGTGCCCAGTGCTACACTGGGTCCTCGATGCCATCCAGCTGTGCTGTACTGGGTGCCCAGTGCTACACTGGGTCCTCGATGCCATCCAGCTGTGCTGTACTGGGTGCCCAGTGCTACACTGGGTCCTCGATGCCATCCAGCTGTGCTGTACTGGGTGCCCAGTGCTACACTGGGTCCTCGATGCCATCCAGCTGTGCTGCACTGGGTGCCCAGTGCTATACTGAGTGCCCAGTCCCATTCAGCTGTGCCATAGTGGGTGCTCAGTCCTGTCCAGCCATGCTGTACTGGATACCCAGCACCATACCGGGCATCCAGTCCCATCCAGCAGTACCGGTTTGGATACCAGTGTCATCCAGCAGTGCTATACTGGGCACCCAGTCCCATTCAGCCTGTGCTGTACTGGGCACCCAATCCTGTGCCATACTGGGTACCCATTGCCATAGTGCCTGGTTCCCACCTGGTTCTCCCAGCATCCACCACCCAGTTCCCAGTGCCCTCTGCCTGCTCTGGGTTGATGGTGTCAACTGGTTCCCAGTCTGGGCTACCCAGTGCCCGGTCCGGGCTACCACAACTGGATGGGGTAACTGGCTCCCAGTAACAGGCACAGGCTTCCCAGTGACCAGACTGGGCTCCCCAGTGCAGGGCTCCCACTGCCTGGTTCTGGGTACCAGTTCCTGGCTGCCCAGTGCCCTGTTCCCAGAGCAGGGGTCCCAGTGCAGGATGCCCCATTCCCAGTGCCAGGAGTAAGAACCACGTTCCCAGTTCTTGGTGCTGGGTACCCAGTGCCTAGTGCAGGGCTCCTGGTTCCCAGGGCACAACACAGGGTTCCTGGTGCCCATTCCCAGTGTTCCTGTTGACCAGTGCCCAGTGCAGGGTTCCCAGGGCCTGGATCCCAGTGCTGGATGCCCAGTACAGGGCACCCAATACTGGGTGCCCAGCTCCCAGTGCCTGGTTCCCAGTGTCCAGCACAGGATGCCCCATTCCTGGTGTCAGGTGCCCAGTTCCCAGTTCCCAGTTCCTGCTTCCCAGTGCAGGATGCCCCATTCCTGCTGCCCAGCTCCTGGTGCCCCATCCACAATTCCCAATGCCAGGCTCTCGGGGCAGGATGCCCTGCTCCCCATGCCCTGTTCCCAGTGCCGGGTACCCAGGGCTGGGTTCCCGGTGCCCAGTGCCGGATGCCCTGATCCCAGTGACTGATACCCCACTCCCAGTGCCCTGTTCCCAGTGCCCAGTGCAGGGTTCCCAGTGCCTGGATCCTGGTGCTGGGTGCCCAATTCCCAGTGCTGCCTGCCCAGTGTCCAGCACAGGATGCCCCATTCCTAGTGCCCAGTTCCCAGCTCCCAGTTCCTGCTTCCCAGTGTGGGATGCCCCATTCCTGGTGTCAGGTGCCCAGTTCCCAGTGCCACATGCCCAGTGTCCAGCACAGGATGCCCCATTCCTGATGTCAGGTGCCCAGTTCCCAGCTCCCAGCACAGGATGCCCCATTCCTGGTGTCAGATGCCCAGTTCCCAGTTCCTGCTTCCCAGTGTGGGATGCCCCATTCCTGGTGTCAGATGCCCAGTTCCCAGTGCCTGGTTCCCAGTGCCCAGCACAGGATGCCCCATTCCTGATGTCAGGTGCCCAGTTCCCAGTTCCCAGTGCCTGGTTCCCAGTGTCCAGCACAGGATGCCCCATTCCTGATGTCAGGTTCCCAGTGCCCAGTTCCTGCTTCCCAGCGCAGGATGCCCTATTCCTGATGTCAGGTTCCCAGTGCCCAGTTCCTGCTTCCCAGCGCAGGATGCCCTATTCCTGATGTCAGGTGCCCAGTTCCCAGTGCCCAGTTCCAGCTTCCCAGCACAGGATGCCCCATTCCTGATGTCAGGTTCCCAGTGCCCAGTTCCTGCTTCCCAGCGCAGGATGCCCCATTCCTGGTGTCAGATGCCCAGTTCCCAGCTCCCAGTGCCTGGTTCCCAGTGCCCAGCGCAGGATGCCCCATTCCTGATGTCAGGTTCCCAGTGCCCAGTTCCTGCTTCCCAGCGCAGGATGCCCCATTCCTGATGTCAGGTGCCCAGTGCCCAGTTCCTGCTTCCCAGCGCAGGATGCCCCATTCCTGATGTCAGGTTCCCAGTGCCCAGTTCCAGCTTCCCAGCGCAGGATGCCCCATTCCTGCTGCCCACCTCCCGTTGCCCCATCCCCAATCCCCCCGGTGCAGGATGCTCCTCTCCCGATGCCGGGTGCCCAGTACCGGATGCTCCGCTCCCACTGCCGGAGCCCGCACTCCCACTGCCCCATTCCCGGTACCGGATGCCCCTCTGCCCGCCGGCCGCTCGGCGGCGCTACCACCGGGGGTTGGAAAGGAGTGGGGGGGGGGTGGCGGGCGGGCGGGCCCCGGTTCCCCCCCGTTCCCCCCGCCCCTCACCGTGCTCTCCGGGCGGCGCCGCGCGCTGCACCCACGCGCTCCAGCTCTGCCCCGCGAACTCGTCCAGGCCGGGCACCCTCCGCTCCGCCGCCGCCATCGCCGCCGCCGCCGCCTCCCCCCCCCCCCTCCTTCCACCGCCGCCGCCGCCGCCGCCGCCCCGTGCACCCCCGCGCATGCGCTGCGAGCCCCCGCCCGCCCCGCGGCACCACGGGCGGTGTAGTCCCGCCTTCCACCACCCCCCCCTTCCCTCCATTGCCGGTACCCCCCGATACCGGCACCGGTATGGGTATGGTATGGGTATGGTATGGGTATGGGTATGGGTATGGGTATGGGTATGGTATGGGTATGGGTATGGGTATGGTATGGGTATGGGTATGGGTATGGTATGGGTATGGTATGGGTATGGGTATGGGTATGGGTATGGTATGGGTATGGGTATGGGTATGGGTATGGGTATGGGTATGGTATGGGTATGGTATGGGTATGGGTATGGTATGGGTATGGGTATGGGTATGGTATGGGTATGGGTATGGGTATGGGTATGGTATGGGTATGGGTATGGGTATGGGTATGGGTATGGTATGGGTATGGTATGGGTATGGGTATGGTATGGGTATGGTATGGGTATGGGTATGGGTATGGGTATGGGTATGGGTATGGTATGGGTATGGGTATGGGTATGGGTATGGGTATGGTATGGGTATGGTATGGGTATGGGTATGGTATGGGTATGGTATGGGTATGGGTATGGGTATGGGTATGGTATGGGTATGGTATGGGTATGGGTATGGGTATGGTATGGGTATGGGTATGGGTATGGGTATGGGTATGGGTATGGTATGGGTATGGTATGGGTATGGGTATGGTATGGGTATGGTATGGGTATGGGTATGGGTATGGGTATGGTATGGGTATGGGTATGGGTATGGGTATGGGTATGGGTATGGTATGGGTATGGGTATGGGTATGGGTATGGGTATGGTATGGGTATGGTATGGGTATGGGTATGGTATGGGTATGGTATGGGTATGGGTATGGTATGGTATGGGTATGGGTATGGTATGGGTATGGTATGGGTATGGGTATGAGTATGGTATGGGTATGGGTATGGGTATGGTATGGGTATGAGTATGGTATGGGTATGGTATGGGTATGGTATGGGTATGGGTATGGGTATGGTATGGGTATGGGTATGAGTATGGTATGGGTATGGGTATGGTATGGGTATGAGTATGGTATGGGTATGGGTATGGTATGGGTATGAGTATGGTATGGGTATGGTATGGGTATGGTATGGTATGGGTATGGTATGGTATGGGTATGGTATGGGTATGGGTATGGTATGGTATGGGTATGGGTATGGTATGGGTATGGTATGGGTATGGGTATGAGTATGGTATGGGTATGGGTATGGGTATGGTATGGGTATGAGTATGGTATGGGTATGGTATGGGTATGGTATGGTATGGGTATGGTATGGTATGGGTATGGTATGGTATGGGTATGGGTATGGTATGGTATGGGTATGGTATGGTATGGGTATGGTATGGGTAAGGTATGGGTATGGGTATGGGTATGAGTATGGTATGGGTATGGGTATGGGTATGGTATGGTATGGGTATGAGTATGGTATGGGTATGGTATGGGTATGGTATGGGTATGCGTATGGGTATGAGTATGGTATGGGTATGGGTATGGTATGGGTATGGTATGGGTATGGTATGGGTATGAGTATGGTATGGGTATGGGTATGGGTATGGTATGGTATGGGTATGGTATGGGTATGGGTATGGGTATGGGTATGGTATGGTATGGGTATGGTATGGGTATGGGTATGGTATGGGTATGGCTATGGGTATGGGTACCGGTACGGGTATGGGTATGGTTATGGGTATGGGTACAGGTATGGGTATGGGTACGGTAAGGTGCGATACGGTGGGGATGTGGCCACACGCCCCGTACAGGGATGGGACTGGAGACTCCATATACCCCTATACCAGCCAGCAACCCCGGGTGATGACTTGGAACGTATGCACCCCTATATAGGGATGGGATCAGGAATTCCATATACCCCTATACCAGCCGGCAACACGGGGTCCTATATACCCCCTATACCCGCGTCCTGTGCACCTCTATATCGGCATGGGACCGAGGTCCTCTATGCTCTCTATAGCGGGGTGATGACCGCGACCCTATGCACCCCTATATAGAGATGGGTCCAGGGGCTCCATATACTCCTATACCAGCCGGCAACCCCGGGTCCTATATACCCCATATACGAGGATGGTGATCCGGGTCCTATGCACCTCTATACGGCATGGGACCGAGGTCCTCTATATTCTCTATAGCGGGGTGATGACCGGGACCCTACACACCCCTATGTAGGGATTGGACAAAGGACTCCATGTACCCCCTGTAACAGGATGAGGACTGGGGTTTGTACACCACTGTACTGGGATAGGAGCAGGGCTCCATATACTGCCTATATTGGCTCTAGGGACCCGAGGGTCCTTATACCTCCTAAACCGAGTTGGGACCAGGGTCCTATATAGTCCCTATACCAGGATGGAGACTGGGGTCCTATGCACCCCTGTACGGGGATGGAGATCCCAAGGGTTACCCGTGTGTGGGGCTGGACAACCAGGGGTGACATATATATACCTATATGGGTCTGAAGATACCGGGGTTACCCCTATATGGGGCTGGGGAGTCGGGTTACCACTACATAGGGCTGGGGACCCCGGGGTTACATACATCCCAACAGTGGGCTGGGCATGGGGAACCCTGGGCTTGGGTGCTCCCCAGTCCAAGATGGCCTCGGGGCTATAGGCCCCTATAGAGCTGGGCAGCGGTTACCTGGGCCCCTATAGGGGCAGGACACCCCGGGGATGGACATACCCCTCTATAAAGCTCCTTTTACAGAGCAGGGACCCCAGGGGTTGTAACGCACCCCTCTATGACGCTCCCAGGACCCGCAGGGGAGTACATACCCCTATACAGGGCTCCTTATACAGAGCAGGGACCCCGGGGTGGGGGGAATATACGGCTATATAAAGCAACCCAGGGGCTGTACATCCCCCCTATACAGCTCCCTATGTACACCACGGGCCATACATCCCCCCATACAGCTCCCTATGTACACCACGGGCCATACATCCCCCCATACAGCTCACTATGCACACCACGGACCGTACATCCCCCCATACAGCTCCCTATGCACACCACGGACCGTACATCCCCCCATACAGCTCCCTATGCACACCACGGACCGTACATCCCCCCCATACAGCTCCCTGTGCACACCACGGCCCGTACATCCCCCCATACAGCCGCCAGGACACGCGGGGGTCGCCCCCCCGACACCGAGCTGGTACCCAGGTCGTTTATCGGCCCCCATAGAGCCGAGGGGGTGATGCAGGGTCCCGTGGCCGTGTCCCCCCCCCCCGCCACCCTCACTCCCCCCCCCCCCCCCATAGCAGCCAGCGGCGCCCCGTCCCCGGGCTGGCGGCCGGCGCGAGGCCCCGGGGCTCGGGGGGGGGGGCCCCCATCCGGGGGTGCTATTGCTTGTCAATGGCGCCCTGCTCGGCCGCCGCGTCCCGGGGCGCAGCCGGTGCCCGCCACGGCGTCTCCCGCAGCACGACCCAGCAGTTCCCGGCCCACAGGAGCACGTTGAGGAAGCCGAAGAGCTGCGGGACGGAGCGGGGAGGCACCCATGGGGCACCCCCTGCGCCTCGTGTGCTCCGCGGCACCCCATTGCACCCCGTGCACCCCATTGCACCCCGTGCATCCCATTGCGCCCCCTGCATCCCATGTGTCCCGTGCACCCCATTGCACCCCGTGCATCCCATTGCGCCCCCTGCATCCCATGTGTCCCGTGCATCCCATTGTACCCCGTGCATCCCATTGCGCCCCCTGCATCCCATGTGTCCCGTGCAGCCCATTGCACCCCCTGCAGCCCATTACATCCCCTGCATCCCATGTGTCCCGTGCATCCCATTGTACCCCGTGCATCCCATTGCGCCCCCTGCATCCCATGTGTCCCGTGCAGCCCATTGCACCCCGTGCATCCCATTGCATCCCCTGTGCCTCCTGTGTTCCATGGCACCCCATTGCACCCCGTGCAGCCCATGTGTCCCGTGCAGCCCATTGCACCCCGTGCATCCCATTGCATCCCCTGCGCCTCGTGTGTTCCATGGCACCCCATTGCACCCCGTGCAGCCCATTGCATCCCCTGCGCCTCGTGTGCCCCGTGCAGCCCATTGCATCTCCTGCATCCCATGTGTCCCGTGCATCCCATTGCACCCCATTGCATCCCCTGCACCTCAGGTGCTCCGTGCATCCCATAGCACCCCTGCATCTCGTGTCCCGTGCATCCCATTGCACCCCGTGCATCCCATTGCGTCCCCTGCGTCTCATGTGCCCCGTGCAGCCCATTGCATCCCCTGCATCCCATGTGTCCCGTGCATCCCATTGCACCCCCTGCACCTCAGGTGCCCCGTGCATCCCATTGCACCCCTGCATCTCGTGTGTCCCTTGCATCCCATTGCACCCTGTGCATCTCATTGTGTCCCCTGCGCCTCGTGTGCCCCGTGCAGCCCATTGCATCCCATTGCATCCCCTGCTCCTCGTGTGCTCCATGGCACCCCATTGCACCCCGTGCAGCCCATTGCATCCCATTGTGTCCCCTGCGCCTCATGTGCTCCATGGCATCCCATTGCACCCCGTGCATCCCATTGCATCCCCTGAGCCTCGTGTGTCCTGTGCAGCCCATTGCACCCCGTGCAGCCCATCGCATCCCATTGCATCCCTTGCTCCTAGTGTGCTCCATGGCACCCCATTGCACCCCGTGCATCCCATTGCGCCCCCTGCATCCCATGTGTCCCGTGCATCCTATTGCACCCCCTGCACCTCAGGTGCCCCATGCATCCCATTGCACCTCTGCATCTCGTGTGTCCCGTGCATCCCATTATGTCCCCTGCACCTCATGTGCCCCGTGCATCCCATTGCACCCCGTGCATCCCATTGCAGCCCCTATGCCCCATGTGCTCCATGGCACCCCCTGTGCCTCATGTGCCCCGTGCATCCCATTACACCCTGTGCATCCCATTGCAGCCCATATGCCCTGTGTGCCCCATGGCACCCCT